AAAAGTCACAGATTTTGTAGGAAAAATTCCAGTGGAGTTGGTTTCGTGCTTGCATCTCTCTGCCTTGCTTGGTTTTTTGAATACCCCATAGGAAATGGAATTTGTCTGACCAGGTATGTTTAAGATCTAAAAAATGCCCAGGCGTAGCAACAAAAAGAAAAACCTCAGACTAAGTAAGATTCAAACTTCTCTACAACGCTGCTGAAGAGCCATGAACTAACCTGCAGAGGGACACACCCAAGGAAGGGAGAGCCTGCTCCAGGAATGGGCAGGCCTAACACAGACTGAACAGGGATGCGGCTGGGGACTTTGGCCAAGAGAACGGGACAGCAGAAACGGCTGCGGTCTGGACAGACCTAATCTCACAGGTCTCTTGGGCCTACAACCATCCCACCCCACCCCCCCATCAAACTTCCCCTAAAGTTGAGGTGCAGGTAAACAGACTGCACAGCCCCATGGCTTCTCCCAAGATGGCAGATCAGGGACTCTGCTGGGGTTGAAATCAACCCACTCACAACTCAAATACAACTTCATCAAAATGGTAGAGGCTTGGAGATTGAGGTCACGGCTAATCACAGATGTCCTCAATTTAACTAAAGCTATAAGCCAGTTGCTCAGGGATGTGAAGAGGGCCTTTCAGTTTGGTTATCTACAAGCCTCAGAAAAGTTTTTAAGTTTCAGTCAAATTAGTGCCCTGACTAGGCCAGCTAGTTGGGTATGCTTCCTGCATCTCCTCCATCTGATGCTGTGACTCTACTGTAAAAGAAAGGATGACAGAAGAGCCAGGGAGGAAGAGGGAAAGGAGGGAGGTCAGGGGCACAATTCAGGAAACAGAGGAGGAGGCTGGTGTGTCGGCGCTTACTTGAGACGCCTCATTCCAGCCAGTCCTCCTAGTCCCCCAACCCAGAGCCAGGACTCACACCATCCTAGCAGCCGCTCACTGACAGACCATCGAAATTCATTAAAATACAAAAACATCCCAACAATGTTACTAGAAATACCTGAATTAACAAGCAAATCCCCAAAGTGAGTATTTTAAACCTCTTCAATAGCCATAGTATTTTCAGGCAAATATTAACTGCTTAACATAGTGAAAAATCTGGAATACATTTTAAGGACAGAAAAATAAACAAATAAATAAATCATGAAAAACTAGAAAACTAGAATCTCCTAAAGATTTTCAAAACCCAGAAGTTTATCTGTGTATAAATGCACCTAGATATATATATCTACAGATAGTTACACTTTCCTTGACTACTAGTGGTAATGACACTGGTCAATGTAGAATCGTCATGGCTTCCTTTAGGTGAGTATTCAGCCTATCCCCTCTCCCTCATCCCACCCCTTCCTTCATATACTCCATGTAATGTGCTGCCAGATAGTCACTGCCCCTGCAAATAGCTAAGATCCATGCAGATGATGATTCTTAACGTTAAAAACTGAATCCCAGGCTGGGCACGGTGGCTCACGCCTATAATCCCAGCACATTGGGAGGCCAAGGCGGGTGGATCGCGAGGTCAAGAGATCGAGACCATCCTGGTCAACAAGGTGAAACCCCGTCTCCATTAAAAATATAAACATTAGCTGGGCATGGTGGTATGCGCTTGTAGTCCCAACTACTCAGGAGGCTGAGGCAGGAGAATTGCCTGAACCCAGGAGGCAGAGGTTGCAGTGAGCCGAGATCATGCCATTGCACTCCTGTCTGGGTAACAACAGCGAAACTCCGTCTCAAAAAAAAAAAAAAAAAAAAAAAAAAAAAAAAAAAAAAAACAACCTGAATCCAGCCGTCAGAGTGGCTCACGCTTGTAATCCCAGCACTGTCTGGGAGGCCAAGGCGGGCAGCTCACACAAGGTCAAGAGTTCAAGACCAGCCTGGCCAACAGGATGAATCCCCAACTCTACTAACTTTTGTATTTTATACAAAAATTAGCCGGTCACGGTGGTGCATGCTTGTAGCCCCAGCGACTTGGGAAGCTGAGGCAGGAGGATGGCTTGAACCTGGGAGGCAGAGGTTGCACTGAGCTGAGACTGTGCCACTGAATTCCAGCCTTGGCAATAGAGTAAGAATCTGCCTCAAAACAAACAAACAAATGAACCAACCAACAAACAAAATGAATTCATGGGAAAAAAAAAATTTTTGACAAATAAATCCCAATGTCTCCACATCAATCTCAAACATGCTGGAAAACAAAGGAGTTGAGGACCCCAGGGCAACCACAGTAGTACACATGGGATGAACTCCACTGATCAAGACGTCAGATAAATTCACCTGCCCAATCACCGTAAAAGGGTGAAAAACAACTTATGAAAAGGACCCAATCTGATACTATACCGATGAAACAGACATCAAACAGCCATGCAGAAAATAACAGATGAGAGTAATTTCATGTTTTGTTCTTATTTCTTTTCTCTTGAATCTGTATACAACCAAAAAGAAAACTAGAAAATTAAATTCCTTCTCAAGAAGAAAAAGTTCTCTGGCAGTTCCTTTCTATGCATATTATATTTCAAAAACTTTATTCAGGCAGCTTCAACCAGCAGCTCCAAAATAATATATTCCTGGTGTATTCTCAATAATGCTGTTGTCATTCACCAACACCACAAACTTAAAAGATTATAAAGTTGTTACCACTCCCCAAATCGACCCCTTCCTAATTCCTATTCAATTACCTTCACCCCCCCGCATCCACAGGCCCTTGGGAAAACATAGCCCACTGCATCTTCTCAAATCCAAGTTCACATCAGCTGTTGCCTGGATGGAATACTCTGGATACGATCATTTCTTCCTTTACTGCAAACTACACTCTGCTGCAAGAGGCATCATTCAGAACTTGACCCATCTGCTCTTACTATCCCATCTAAAATCATCAACAGGCCGGGCGTGTTGATGATTTTACAGGCTCACGCCTGTAATCCCAACACTTTAGGAGGCCGAGGCAGGTGGATCATGAGGTCAAGAGATCGAGACCATCCTGGTCAACATGGTGAAACCCCGTCTCTACTAAAAACACAAAAAAATTAGCTGGGCATGGTGGCGCGTGCCTGTAATCCCGGCTACTCAGGAGGCTGAGGCAGGAGAATTGTCTGAACCCAGGAGGCGGAGGTTGCGGTGAGCTGAGATCGCGCCATTGCACTCCAGCCTGGGTAACAAGAGCGAAACTCCATCTCAAAATAAAAAAATTAAAAAAAAAAAAAAAAAATCATCAACAGTTTCCTGTTCTGTTATTAGAATTCTATCTCCCGCCCAGGTCTTTCAAGGTCACCGCAGAACAGACCTCCACATGGGCGGGATCACAGGCATTATTCCTCATCTCTTGTTCTTCTCTAGAAATTTCATCTGTACACATCTCTCTTCCAACTATCCAGATGCCTTGATAGCCACAACTGCAGGGAATAATCGTCTCCCGAAAGTTAACATTTAGTTACATTTTGTATTTGTCCCATCTCCCCAGCTAATCTGTAAGTCATTAAAAAGAGATGGAGCCCTCCACTATGCATGTGTGTCACCTAAACACAACCAAAGCAAGAGGCAAGCCAGATAAACAACTGTTAAGTGGAGAGAGCAGAAATGCCCAACAATAATGAAAGCAAGATGGAGATTTCAGTCGTGTCTAAGCCGTGCTTGTCCTGAGCCTCTATTTCCCACTGAATCCAGAAAGGCAAATGACAGCTCAGAGCACAGGCACTGAGGAGAAAAATGAGCAGCTCTCCTTTGCCTCAATCACTTCCAGACAGCAACTGATTTTCTGCTTCTCTATCTTACAGGTCTCAGTGGGTCCTAAGTAATGTATGTCTAGTGGAGCAGCTGGTAGGAAGGCAACAGAAAACAGCCACACATCCTGAATCCCATTCTCTTTGCTTCTCTCCTCTTTCTTGCCTATCTTCTTATGCTCATTTCCCCACTCAGTGCAATTCCAATTAGTTCAGGGCTATCTCTGGTCGGCCTCCGACATCACTTCTTCTTATCCTATTCTACATTCTCCAATGTATACTGCACAACCAATGTTTAACAATACTTGTTACCCTTGGTCAGGAATCGCCTACAGTTACAGCCTCACTATGCATTTCTTCAAGTTATTTCCCTTTAAGAAAGCCTCATCATCGATGCCAGCTTTATGTTTTCAAGGCACAATTCCATCTAGGTCATTTATCTGTTAACCACTAGGTGCTAGCCGGGGGCGGTGGCTCACACCTGTAGTCCCAGCACTTTGGGAGGCCGAGGTGGGCGGATCACCTGAGGTAGGGAGTTCAAGACCAGCCTGAGCAACATGGTGAAACCCCATCTCTACTGAAAATACAAAAAAAATTAGCCGGGTGTGGTGGCACATGCCTGTAATCCCAGCTACTCAGGAGGCTGAGGCAGGAGAATCGCTTGAACATGGGAGGCAGGGAGTTGCAGGCAGAGATGTTGCAGTGAGTCAGCCTCGCGCTGCTGCACTCTAGCATGGGCAGCAAGAGTGAAACACAGTCTCAAAACAACCAAACACGCACCACCACCATTGGGGGCTCTCTTTAACCAACTTAGATACCTAAACTTTTGTTCCTTCCCTTTATCCTTCTCCTCTACACTATACACTCGAGGGGAAGATCAGTCCACTTCAAAATGTATGTGCAATTCCATGGAAAGAAGGACAGTTTTCCTCCTATACCATATCAACATACCAAAATGACATTCGTAATTAAAGGGGGACACAGATGTTGTTTCACCAAATCTTCCTGACCATCCCCGTGTAGATGTGGTCTTTTCCTGTTCTGATGCCCACCAGCAATTACGATTTACCGTCACCTCCCCAACATAAGAATCTACACTCGTCAAGAACACCCTGTACTACAAAACGCTGCACTGCACTTATCATCCCTTTGCCCCTGAAGAGTCTGGCCCTGGAGAGGAACCCAGAATAAGGTTTCCCTTCATCTCGTCTCTCCTCAACAGAGGCTCTCTTCCAGCTCTCACCCAAAGAGTTAGATTCTTTGTTACCCAAGCTCAACAGGGGACCTACCATGCCCGTTGTGAACATGTTTGTGGGTTTTTCCTTTCCTGGGGGTTGACTGGCATGAAGATGAAGCATTGTTGGTGGCTGTTTTGACATCTTCGGTCTCATCATCTTCCTCCTCGACATCCTCCTCATCCTGAGAGCTTCCGAAATACACCATGCTGTTGGGCAGCGCAGGAGAACCTGGTGGATGAAGAAAGACAGCTCAAACACAGGCCTGCACCCTCACCCTTTCCAGAAGGACCACCACAACGAAGACTGAACCTAAATCTTCACAACCGGGGAGAAAAATGAAGCAACTGGTCTCTACTGCCATTTTAAATTTATTTTTCAAATACGCCTAAGATCATCTGTGCCTTTTAAACGTATCTTGAGCAAACTCTCCCAGCAGGAAGACGATGTGAAACAGAACACATCAGGATTTTTTTAATCTCATGAATATCTTTTGAGAAAAAAACAAAAATACCTCCAAGGATTGAACAGAAACATAAGTAAAATAAAAACACCTACCCACTGCTAAGGAAGAGAGACCACTCTGAATTATCAGACAAGACAATCAGAGAAGAAAAGACAACCAGAGAAGCTAGAAGTAAAAACAGAATATAACATTTCATTATATAAAATCACTGTGTTGTATTCATGAGGGGTGAATGGTGGCTACAAATTCCCACAAATACCAATGGTTTTCGAAGCCACTTCGATGTCATCATTAGGTTAACCGGATGCAAAATTACCCAAATAAATTCCTACGCTGCATCAAGTGTTTTTTTTTTTTTTTTGGAGGAGATAAACCAATTTTATTGTCTATTATGTTATACAAAAATCTACAAATAATAGATTTGTACAGAAAAAAATGGTAATAAATGAGAGCGTAAAACATATAATTTAAATTTGGTGTTTTTTTCCCATGATATTAGGATAATAATTTCAAAGCACGTGTCTAGCTTCTGACTTGGATTTGTTTAATGGCCAAAGCCTGCCATAAAACTATGGCTTTCAGTGTCTGTCTGCTCTACTTGCTCTTGACAAAACTTTTGAGGTCTTCAAGAAAAGTAATGTACTCCTGGTGCTCCAGGGCTGTGCTGAGCTCCACCAACTCATCTGCAAAAGTGTTGTCCACCCCTCGGTCCGCAAGGAAATCCATTAGGTGGTCATACAAGGCCCAGTCCAGGGAATCTGTGTTGAGTGTGTAATTAGTATCCTTCCATTCAGAGTTGCCAGTGGACTGAAAGCTAACTTCCCTGATAGAGAAGATGTCACTCTCAGCCTCATCCTCTTGTCCAACCTCATCTTCTGGATAATGACAGTCCAGCACAAGGGCCTTCTTGCCATCATTCTTTATAACTTCAACCACGAAATTGGGAGTTGATGTCAATTCAGGCTCCTGTTCTTCAACCTTCTGCCCTTTCGAGGGTTCCTCCTCACCATCAAATGTTGGTGGGATGCTGTTGTTAATATTGAAAGTGACAGTAATTGTTTCCCCAGCAACTTTCTGCACTAATTTAGCTTCTGTCCCATTCAGTTCCAGCTCCCAACCTCCAGACATCTTAGGGAGGGTTTTATGCTTCTGGATTTTTCTTTCCTCCTTAATTTCATCACTCAGGAAATCAACAAAAGCTTTGTCTCCTTCGGTGTGCAGCGCGCCGCAACCACAGCCGCAGGCGCAGGGCCCGCGAGGCCGCAGGAGGCCCGGCCGCTGCTCGGAACCTGCACGCACGCTGAGCAGCCCGAAGGGCCGGGCGCAGAGCTGGGGCGCCGGCTGCAGGAGCTGCCGGAATGGCGAAGCAGGCGAGGCGGGAGCCGCGGCGCGGAGGCCGGCAACGGAGGAGCCCAGTACACGGGGCACGCAGCGTAGCAGAGGCAGCATCGCGGAGAGGACTAGGAACACGTGCAGACGCAAAGGACTACCCAACCCTCAGTTAAAGTGTTAAATTTGAAAATGGAGTGTAGTGGTGTGCTCTCGGATCACTGCGACCTCCGCCTTCAGTGTTCAAGTGATTCTACTGCACCAGCCTCCCAAGTAACTGGAACTGCCGGCGCACGCCACAACACTCAGCTAATTTTATACGTTTTAGTAGAGATGGGGTTTCACCATGTTGGCCAGGGTGGTCTCAAACTCCCGACCTCACAATCTACCCAAGTCAGCCTCCCAAAGTGCTAAGACTGCAGGTGTGAGGCACCGAGCATGGCCTGTTATTTTTTTTTAGAAAGTTTCTCGCTCTGTCGCCCGAGTGGCGTACAGTGGTGTGATCACAGCTCACTGCAGCCTTTACTGCAGTAAAGCTGGAGCTACAGGCATGCATCACCACACCTTGCTAATTTTTTGTAATTTTTTTAGAGACAGAGTGTCACTATATTGCCCAAGGTTGATCTGAAACTTCTGAACTCAAGCAATACTTCTGCTTTGGCCACCCAGTGTACCCGGCTTGCAGGCGTGAGCCCCCATGCCCACCCTTATGCTCAATATTCTAAAATGACAAAATATACATCTTCTTTATCAAACAAAGGCAATTAAGGAGATCAATCAAGTCATTCGTATATAGTTTGGGAGGACAGGAAGCTAAAATCCAAACAAAATTCCCTTCAGTCTAATAGTAAAAGAGCTAGTAAATATGAAATTCCTGTCTTCTCTTGCCTGCCTTCCTAAGGATGAGCTAATAAGACTTCATTAACGTCAACAAAGAGATAAATCGCCAATTCACCCTCCTACCTACATAGCGATCTCAAAGTTTAAACACACAGTTAAAATTACTTCTGGGGCCTGGTGCGGTGGCTGCAGTGGTTGGATCTCCCGAGGACAGGAGGTCGAGACCAGCCTGGCCAACAGAATGAAATCCCACCTCTACTAAAAATATGAAAATTAAGTGGGTGTGGTGGTGGGTGCCTGGAATCCCAGCTACTTGGGAGGCTGAGGCAGGAGAATCATTTGAACCTGGGAGGCAGAGGTTGCAATGAGCCAAGATCACACCACTGCACTCCAGCCTGGGCTACAAGAGACAGAATCCATCTCAAAAAAAAAAATCTGTCCAGCTTTGGAACTATATGCTCAGTAACAAAACAGTCATTATCAGGAGCTGAGATGGCAAACAAAGAACCCATCTCCCCAAAAGGCAAAGACTACATGGGGCCTACAACCTCTTCCTTTTCCTGCAGGCATCTTTATGACCTACCAATGTTCAGAAACCCCCCCAAATTATGTGAACCACATCACTGGGTGGATATGAAACTCCAAAGAGATGTAGTCAGCGAAAGAACCTCTGTAGACATAAGATTTCAATTTGGTCTTACAAAGGCCATTTTGATGTTTTGTTCACGGCAACTTGATTGTCTCCATTTAGAAGTAGATTCTGGACAGAAAGGTTTTTAGACCTGATATAGACACAGGAGAAAATCAAATAGAAAAGCGAGTAAAATACAGAGTCAGGAGTTAAAAGAAAGACAAGAAAATATCCACATTTCCACTGGAACAAAATATATGTAAATGGTTTTACAATAAATCACCATGGTTTTCATTAGGGTATCACCATTCATGGGTATAGGCAGGTTATATACACAGCCAAATCTAACAGTGTTGTTCATCCCTCTTCCCTAAATACTTATAAACTACCTTTGTAAGTATTTAAGAAAAAACAAAAGTACAACAGCACTCAAAAAACATTGAAATTATTTTACTATAGATCTAACATGTGGTGTCAATCATAGTATCAGGAGAGAACTTGAGAGTTTTACATTCTGCCATTAAATTTCCCTCTTTTAAAAGAGGGTAGGATAGGTTAAATGTTCGTTCCAGATAAGAATATCCATGCTGAATTTCTTCTAATGAACAGCCTTCCTATACTATGTCTTGGAGGCAGTAACTAGCAGCTGAAATCTGAACAATGAATTAGTATAAAAATAGCAGGTTCGGCCAGGTGAGGTGGCTCATGCCTGTAATACCAGCACTTTGGGAGGCCAAGGCGGGCAGGTCACCTGAGGTCAGGAGCTCGAGACCAGCCTGGCCAACATAGTGAAACCCCGTTTCTACTAAAAATACAAAAAATTAGCTGGGCTTGGTGATGCATGTCTGTAATCCCAGCTACTCAGGAGGCTGAAGCAGGAAAATTGCTTGAACCTGGGAGGCGGAGGATAATGCCATTGTACTCCAGCCTGGTCAACAAGAGCCATACTCCATCCCGAACACAACAAAACAAACCAAAAAAAAACAGCAGGTTGTTGTGTAGATCTTTCTTATAGTAACTTCTGCAGCCAATTCAAGCATTTGTCAGAGGGAAACAGTAACAGGAGAAGCAGGAGGGACTGAAAGGTTACAGGCATGTATTGCAGGAGGAGAGCCATCAGGCCTGCAGCCTTCCTCTCTCCCCTCACTTGCAAAGGCAATAAACTCCACAAATGAGGCCATGTGGGAGCAATAAAAAGCACAGAAATAAGATCCAATAAAAAATGTTCTATGATTCAAAGAGAATCAGGTAAAAATCCATGGGAAGCACAATAGAAATAAGGAATTAACTTCCACTTAACAGAATGTTGAGGATTTTGAAAAACTCGAATGTTAGAGAAGCAGCATGAAGCAACTATCACATTTCCTTACACTCAAGATGTTGAGAGAAAGGGTGAGGACTGAGTTTATGTTGCAAAGAACTAAAACAGAGAAGACACCGAGATGCGAAGTTCAGCATCCAGACGTTGTTGGCAGCCAAAGAGGATAATATATCATTATTTCTGAGACACGGAATCACGCTGTCACCCAGGCTGGAATGCAGGAGTGTGATCCTGACCTCAATGCAGCCTCGACGTCCTAGGCGCAAGTGATCCTCCCACCTCAGTCAACTGTAGCTGGGACTACAGGTGCACACCACCACACCCAGGTACTTTTTAAATTTTTTGTAGGGATGAGGGTCTCGCTGCATTGCTGAGGCTGGCCTAAAACTCCTGACCTCAAGTGATCTTCCCACCTGACCTCCCAAAGCAGTGGGACTGCAGGTGTGAGTCATCATGCCCAGCCCATAGAATATAATTTGTTGTTGTTGTTTTGAGATGGAGTGTCACTCTTGTTACGCAGGCTGGAGTGCAATGGCATGATCTTGGCTCACCACAACCTCCACCTCCTGGGTTCAAGCAATTCTCCTGCCTCAGCCTCCCGAGTAGCTAGGACTTCAGGCGCGCATCACCGTGCCCAGCTAATT